TTAGAGACAGTAAATTGTAAGGGAGGAGACTGCATATCTTTCCCCAGAGAAGAGCTGGTGGATTTGAACAGAGTATCTTTGGGTTGGCAGCGCTGTTCCTTACCCCCTAGGCCACCAGAGTTCCATAGTCAAGGGCTCATTCTAAAAGCCTTTGTATTGATAATAATTTACATTTATTATACTTCATGAACCCTTTTAGATAATTACATTTAATTGTCATATTTCTCACCATTCATTATTTGTGAGTTTAGCTGCATTAACAATATGCTTTTTTTCATTGGTAAAAGTAAAGCCAGTGATTACAGACACACCCTGGAACGAACAAGAGGACCTTAGTACTATGTAATTTAGATTCTGAAAGAAGGTTTGGTTTGGAAATTAATATATCAAAAATAAGATGAAATGGGAAAAGAAAATAAAGTGCTAGAATATATTTATTTCAGAAACAAATGGAGAACTAATGATATCTAAAATGTAGCCTTAAATCTCCTGTGTAATGTGAAATAGATTTTATATAGCACTTAACTCAAATTTATCTTCCAGTTCATTTGTACAGTAATTAAACTATATGCTCAGTAATATAACAAATGGTAGTAAACCTCTTTGGAAAATGTTAAAATGTTCCTAAATGTACAATAACTCTTCTCCCCTGTCTCATTACTTTCTCTATTATGTACCTCTCATGAAATTATTTCTATAATATTGAGTACAGTGTGGGATTCATAACTCGAAAAGGTTCTCACCAATAATACGTCCTTGGTTTTGCACCAGCAAGTTGGAAAAGGTTCCTTAGTCTCCCCGAATGCTGTGATGTTTCAGTTCTAGAAATATTTTGCCCTGACATTTGCATCCCATCATTTTCCATTTCAGCAAAGACCTTCTGTGTTAGTTGTATGCTAGTCAGAAATGATCCTTCCAAGGACAGATACATTTTCCTCAGTTTCTTTTTAATAACTTTCCACAAATCCCAGTTTTCCAGCCTCCTTATCCTTCCAATCAATCAAGAATCCTTTCCACTACTTGACCTTCATGTTCACGTGATAAAGTAAGAACAGCAATTTGAACACACAACTTTCTTTCCACCAAAGTTCTCATTCTATACTTTTATTCACATTCCATGTCACATTTTAGCAACTTTTTAGACAAAAGGCTTCTTTACTTCTTTATTCATGAAAATAGTGGAATCAGCACCAAATTTAAGCTTTGATGCTATAGCTAAACTTTAGGCTGTGTAGTTGTTGTTAAGTGCCAGCGAGTCATAAATGACTCATAGTGACCCTATGAACAAAAGACCTGAACACTTGTATAACTTTAATCATTTCTCCAAGTTCATAGAGTTTCTGGAGGCAAGCTATTTTGGAAGTGGATGCCACTCCTGCTTCCAAGTTGTTTTAATCGGGAAGTTCCACCAAACACTGTCCACCATGGGTAACCATTATCACATTTGACACATGAGTATCACAGTGTTTAGCATGACAGCATCCACAAGTTACCTCTGTACAGCAAATGGACAGACCAGTGCTATACCACTTAGAAGGATGTTTGACCAAAAACAAAACCAGGCCTGAGGGCCACAGATTAAAACAATGCACCTTTGGTTTGGTAGCATAACTTTCTATCCACTATGCACTTGAGGTAGTGCAGATTAAGGCACTCATTTTACTAACAGAAAGGATAGAGGTGTGAGTGCACCCAGAGTGGTCTTGGGACAGAGGCCTTGGCATCTACTCCTGAAAAATCAGCTGTTGGGAGCCCTAGGGAGCACGGTGCTCCCTATACAGGCCTTCCTAAATTGGAATTTTTAAAACCAACCAGTTTTAGTGAGAGGCCCATTTTAAACAAGCTCATTCATTCATAGGGACTGTTAACCCAAAGATAGTCACTCTCAGGGAGAAAGATAGGCAGTCTCCCTCCTCCCATGTGACTTAAAGCCTCAGAAATCCAACAGTCAGTCAGTTCTGAATCAGCTCCAATGGATCCATTCCAGTTCTGCAGCAACAACATGATTTTAATGAGAGGGACCGTTTCTCCTCAGGAATAGAGTTGGAGATGGCACAGGCAAGGATATTTAAATGACAGACTATATTAGAAAGTAATTATGGCTTTCTGTACCTGTGGAGTTACAGAGATCTTAGCGATCATAGCAAAAGGCCCATGTAGCTCTTAGCTTCCTGCAAAAATTTAAGAGTGTGCAGTGCTGTAAATAGAAATAAATAGACTTTTCTTAGGAATTCTTTCTGTAATCCTACATTTTCCTCTTCCCCTCCCACGTCCCTGACCTTTAAATACTTAAAATATTTTCTATTTATGAGATCCTAAAATGGAACAGTGACGACCAATTTTCCCTTCCAGTGCTCATTGCAGAGGGAAGCAGCACCGGGTGCAGTTTTGCAGATCTCTCTCGTTTATAGCTGCTCACACATGGTCAGGGTCTGGACCTCCTTGTATTTCTGTTTCACCTCGTTAACTGTGCTAAACAAAAGCACTTGACACCTGTACGTACAGTCTCATTAAACCCAGTGGATGCCAAAGCACTAACACTATTGATTGAACAGCAGGCGTCTTTCCATTACTTTTAATGGGAGCTGTAAGAATGTTCATGCAGCCCAAATACATCTCACTGGAGCAAGACATTAAAAAGGTGTTTGTAGTTCAATTACCCTTTTAATTCTAGGATATCCCTGTTTAATCCCATGACTCTGCTATCTTCTGCTGACTTTGCCACTTCACCAAGGAAAATGAAGAATTCAAATCCAAACATTAAGTTAAAAGCTTAACAGAGTATTGCATTTCATTTGAACATCTGAAAACTAAGGACTTGGTTGTTGTGATGGCCTCTTGGGAACTGTCTGTGGACTGGCACAGTGTGAGAACAGCAGACACAGGGCTCTGCATGACGTTCACCTCCAAGGCACCAGGGCTCGTCCACAGTCAACAAAGCAAGTCAAACCTAGGCTCACTGGGTGCAGGTGGGGCTCATTTCACTGTGCCATGTGAGAGCCTCCAAAAGGGCCATGTGTGATCCTTCCTAGAGAGCCCTGGAAACTCTGAGGAGGAGGAGGAGAAGAGAGTAACTCCTACATATAAAGCAGAAATATAACATTTGTCCTGGGTAATGCAAATGGTCATTGTACTTGGCTATTAACATTTAAGGCTAAAAAGGTTCAAGTCCACCAAGAGGTGCCAGGAGATCTTTTCCATAAAAAAAGGTCAGCCATTGAAAATCTCGTGGAACACAGTTCTACGCTGACACACCAGGGGTCGCTAGAGTTGGCTCCTTGGCAGCCAGCTTTTATCATCCAACATTAGCAGCTAAAGCTTCTGAGTGTGTGCGGTTTAGAGGAAGGTGATCTGAGCGTGAAGGTGGCAAAACAATTCTGAATCAATACTATAGAGAATTTTAAGGGAGCCCTGGTGGGATAGCTCTTGGGAAGTTGTGCTGTTAACAAACGATGTGTTTCTTTTACTGTTCAAATCCACCAGGAGGAAGATGGTCAATCTCTTTTCATGTTGTTTACAGCTTTAGAAATCCTGTATTTTTCTTTAAATAACAAGAGTTACTATTAATTCAGTACTCACTTTATGGTAGATAAAGTACTATCTAAAATAGGTACCAATCAAAAAAATAATTCAGTGAATACTTTTCTCAGAAAAAGTTGAAACACACACATACACATATTTTTAACTGATTTATTTACAAAGTTCGAATATATTGTTTTCCACACAAGATCCTTCCCATTTTTTTCACCCCCTCATCGAATTGTGAAACACTATGATTAACACACCACCCCAAACCTGCTTCCCTCCCACTTCCACCCTCCCCCTCTTAGATCCTACTCATTCCACAATAAAGGTTTTATACAGAATTTGTCCTTATGGAGCTGAGTTAGTTCACTCAGCAAAATGCTCTCCAGTCCCTCCCAAGCTACGTAATAATTTACAAAACCATTGCTCCTGCATACTGTGTAGTGTTCCATTTTATGAATGTACCACAACTTCTCAATCCATTTGTTTGTGCTGTTTCCATGTTCTTGTGATGGTGAATAACCCTGCTATGAACACTGGCATACAAGTCTCTGGTTTTGCCTCAGTTCTCATTTTCTGAGGATATATTCCAAGCAGTGGAATAGCTGGGTCATATGGAATTTCTATGTTCAGCTTTTTGAGGAAATACCTAACTTCCTTGCAGAGTAGTTGTAACATACACATATTCTTAATCTCTCACTTTCTCCTTTGTTCTCTCATATACACATACACACACACAGCTCAGTAGTTGTTGTTGTTGTTATGTGCTTTCGAGTCGTTTGCGACTCATAGCGACCCTATGCACAACAGCCCTAAACCCTGCTCTGTCCTGCGCCAACCACACTGCCTCTGACACATCCATCCCGATTACCCCAGTCACCGAATCAATCCATCTCATAGAGGGTCTTCCCCTCCTGCACAGCACTGTCCCTCCACCCTCCCAAGCATGATGTCCCTCTCCAAGGACCCGTCCCTCCTGGCAACATGTTTCAGAAAATTTTAAAACAACAACAACAACAAAAAAAAAAATACAAAGAATGGTTTTAACTAACAGTACCATCTAGTGGCAAGAAGGTGAACTGACTAGAAAACCATGTTTCTTCCAGAAGGGCTCTGTTCAATTTGGTTCAGAATGTATTTTCTTAACCTTATGTTCTTACTGTTATATTGGTTTATCTGAAAGCTAAGAACGAGAAAGAATGTCACAGATCTGACACTGACACGTCAGAGAAGCCATTGTGGGGTTAATGCTAGAAAAGGCTCCAGCTATCAGGATTTTCTGCCTAACCTCCAGTGAGCCGGTAGACTTATTCCTAACAAAGCAGGGGTGGGTTCAAACTGCAGAGCTTGTGGTGAGTCGCCAAATATTTTTATTACAGCACCGTCAGGGCTTCTCTCCTGAAGTCAGTGGACCGGGTTCCAGCCAGGTTCACATGTGGTTGACTGTAAGATGGATATGTTTTGTTCTTCTCCAGTCTCAGGAGGCCCAGGTGCTGAAACAATTGGCAGAGAAGAGGGAACACGAGCGAGAAGTCCTTCAGAAGGCTTTGGAGGAGAACAACAACTTCAGCAAAATGGCGGAGGAAAAGCTGATCCTGAAAATGGAACAAATTAAGGAAAACCGTGAGGCTAATCTAGCTGCTATTATTGAACGTCTACAGGAAAAGGTAACCATAATGTGAGATTGGTATGTTCCTATTCCACACAGGCTGGGTGAGCTATCATAGGCCCAGGTACCAGAAAATGAGTGCAAACCCCATAGACAGGGTACCACAGTGGAGGATGGGGGGAGAGAAGGGTACAACATGGTGCAGAAATGGGAATCTATTGAAATTGGAATCTTTTTCAACATTCCTAAATGGATTTAGGAAGGCTAAAAAGTGCTTTTAAATATATAAAAAGATTTTATAGAATCAATATCTTGAATTGTGGTGTTAGAGAGTAGTACTGATATCCCCAGAGCTGCCAAGAGAACAAAGGAGTAAATGCGGCCATCATGTTCTTGGAGGGAAGGATGGTGGAACTTCATTCTCATGTACTTTGGGCATGTTGTTAGGGAGAGACCAATCCACAGAAAAAGACATCATACTCAGAACAGTAGAGGGCCAATGAAGGAGGAGAAGACCCTCAATGAGGTGGATCAACACAGTATCTACAACTATGGGCTCAAGGGTGGCAGAGATGAGGAGGACGGCACAGGATTGGGCAGTTTTCAAAGCTATTGTTCACAGGGTCTTTATTGAATTGTAGTTGACTCAATGCACCTAACAACAACAACAAAGAAAATATGTTTGTCAGAGAAGACCAGAATATCATATCCACAAGTAAATCTAGCCTTTCCATGTAGAGGAAACTAACCTCATGCCCAAAACAGAAACAAACCTACTGCCCTGAGTCAATTCTGAGTCATAGTCACCCCAGAGGGCAGAGGAGAGCCATAGAGTTTCCAAGGCAGAAATCTTTACTGAAGCAGCATCTTTTCTCCATGGAGTGGCTGGTAGGGTCAGAGTATGACCTTTCCACTAGCAGCTGAGCATTTACCCCCAGACAACAACACTACATTGTTGTTGCTGCTGTTGTTGATGATGATGATGATGATGATTGCCATCGAATCGAGCACAAGTCATAGCTACTCTATGAACAAAAAGGCCTGAAGCTTTTCTATAACTATTTTCATTTATCAAAGTTCATAGCGTTTCCAAAGGCATGTTGGTTAGGAAGTGGATGCCACTCCTGCCTCCAACACTCCATTAGGAAAATTTAAACTCACTGCTCTTGAGTTGGTTCCAATTCACAGCAACCCTCCTCAGGCTTCAGAAGCTGTAAATCTTTACAGGCAGAGCCCACCTATCTCTGTCCATTGGAGCAGCAGGTGGATTTGAACTGCTGGCCTTCTGGTTCACAGTGCAACTCCACTCTACCACCAGAGCTCCTTTAGGATATAATAATAACTTTGCATTCAATGTTGTAGAGAGCTAATGGAGGATATTCATTTGGTTTGGAACTTATTTTGTGTTAAAATTTTGTCCTCATTTCTTGGGGTATTTATCTTCATCACCCTAAATCTAGATTCATTCTCATCAGTCTGGATAAGTATTGCCGGAATTCTCTGAAAAAAGAAATTATTCTCTTTCTGCTTTGTAAACCCTATACAATATATCTCTTCCTTCCTTAAATATTTCCTGATAGAAAGGACAGTAGAGATATAAGCAGTTTTGCTTTGTCCTTGTTAGGCACTAGAGATACAGAACTCAAAACTGCCCCTGTCTTCAAGGGACAGAGAGTCTTGACAAAATTAGCTTCTCTTTTCTGAGTGATTTTTGGAAGCCCCATATCGACTTCTATTACAGGAGGCCCATCTTATTTAAGGCAGTCTATCATGAAATGCTAGCTGATACTTCATTTTCACACCACTTCTCAGATTACAAATATCAGGTTAAACTCTCTTAAGAAAAAGGCCTCCAGACTCAAACAGTGTAACAGCACAGAAGTTTTTCATGGGTTCTATGAGCTCTTGAGGAATTTCCAGAAGCATAGCAGGGGAATTGTGTGCTCTCACACGGTGGACAGACCTCAAGAATCCAAGGCTGTGTAGAGAAGTAATAAGTGACTTGGACAGGAACTAAAATAGCTGGTAAACATCTTGATCAAAGGCTTAAAGATGAGATTAAATTTATTTATAAACTAGTGTTTTCATACTCTCAGGACTATGTCATTGTGTTTCATGTAAACAAATCCGGTCCATGGGAAGACATGACAGCGTTCAGCTCTCTGCAGGTTGTGCATGGTAACACACTAGCAAGAACTTTGTTGAGATGCAGGAGGACAAAGTACCATTGACTAAAATTGGCTCTCCTGACCTTGAACCAGTCAGTCTTCCTCCATTTGTCTTCCAGTTATTCCTTTCTAGGTGAATAAGGAGACTTAATTCCTACATGATCAGTACCAGGACCGCAGAGAACCTCTGGGTGTCATATTTGAGATAACTATGACTTAACCACCTTCCAGCTCATAGTCTCACTCACTCTGGCCTCCATTTCACATTTTAGTGCTGAAAAATCACACAGTTCTTCAGAATGCCAATCTTAGTTCTGAATTCTCAGTTACAATTTCCATATCCAGTGTGAGATTCCAGTCCTTGACAATCCAGAATGTCACTGTTTTTGAAATTACATATGCACATTATGTATACATTATGTCCATACATACATTAACACTCTTTATTTCATTGATAATATCATTCATTAAACATTGCATATGTAAGTGGTATTTTCAGAAGTGTTAGCTCTTAATATGCAAATTTTTTACTCTATGTATTTTTTTATATCCACCCATCATTCACTGTCATCTCCTTTTTGCACTCTTCCGAACTCTCACCCAGATTTAGACTCCACAGTCTGATAGAATATAGGTGGTTTTGGTTGGTAGGTGCTGTTGAGTTGGCTACGATGCACAGAGTTCCTGTGAACAACAGGTCAGCAACTGGCCCTGTCTGGTACCATCCTCACCATCTCTGATTATTACGGTCACTGTGTCAGTCTATCTTGCCATGTGTCTTACTCTCTTCCTCTGACTCTCTACCTTTCCCAGCATGAAGTCATTTTCCAACATCTAACCCTTCTGACAACATTCCCAAAGTAAAATAGAATATACAGTGGCACATACAGACACAGATTTTCAAAAACTATTGTCTGCTGATTCCCCAGACATCACCAATTTTTCCTGATGATAATTAATCTGTAAAGTGTTTAAAATTTCTAACACCAAACTATACAATCTTAAAGGGTAGGATCAAGATAGCAGTATATTTTGAAAGCTCTCTAGATGTTTCCAATATGTAGCCAGGCTTCTGAATCAGTATTTTATAGGCTATTCTAATTTCAATGTCTGCTGATAGTATTGTACTCTGTGTTGAATGATGGAGCCCAGAATATTTCTGAGTCCACATTTTCCCTTGTATTCCACAGCTGAGAAAACACTTATTGAATCTAATAGTATATTTGACTATTGTCAATCAAGATCTGTTTTCTCCACAGTAAAGTGGTATTCCCCCCTCTGAGGAGGAACCAACTTTACTTCCCTTTGTTAAATTTTAAATATTTCACAGATTTTGCACAAATTTTTGTTTATATATTGTATGCATTTGTGTATATGAAACTATTTTTTAATACACACCACTATTATTGTCTAGTAGTTGAATCAACATCTAGTTGATTGAAATTATTACTTTGAATTTAGAAATTGAAGCAGAATCAATAATAGTGAGATGAAATGCATGGAACTATAGAAAGCTGGTCTGGAATCTTCTACCTCAAATGATTATTACACCACTGAAATTACATTCATCAATGAATTAATCATTTGATGAGAATTTATGGAGCTCTTTCTGTATGTTGAGGAGCCTGGTAGGAAAAATTATCTAAAAAAGCATTTGCCATCTTTTTCCAAAAACAGATAATATAGAATCTGGTAATAAATAACATGGTACTCACACTGGAGAATAGGATAGCATATGGTCCAGTCCAATTAAATGCAAAGGCTTACTGCGCTGAAGAGTACCAGTAAAATCAAGCTCATACGAGTGCGGCCCCATCAGATGTTGACCACTTTGAAAATCTTTACAGGGCTTATCAATTAGACAAGAGTGATCCAGTACCCCAGGAGCTTTTGCTGTGATTAACCTACTAGCGAGACTTCAGTCCATCTTGCTTCAGTTTGAGTCATCCACGCATATCTTCACCATATGGCTATGATCATGCCCTCAGTATCAGTTCCCAGGAACCCTCTGGAGCCTTGTTAGCTTGGGCTTTTTTTTTTTTGCTAAAGCAGATTGCCTAAAGCTAAATTCACATTTACTGCACTTTAGAATCTACTCACGAGCTCTTTTAGAATAAGAAACTAATTTCATTGTCTGGGATAAGACCGAGCCATCAGTATGATTGTTTCAATCTTACTGGAAGAATCTAATATTTAGCCAGAGTTGAAAACCAGAATTGAGTGTACTTTGATGTTGTTTTTGTTAGGTCCCATCAAGTTGCTATGTTTGTGTGTATATGCATATGTTGTTGTTGTTGTTGTTGTTGTGTGCCGTCAAGTCACTTGCGACTCATAGCAACTGTATGTACAACAGCCATAAACCTGGCTCTATCCTATGACAATCTTATTGTCTCTGACACATTACCCCCGTCTCTGAATCAATATATCTCACAGAGGATTTTCCTCTCTTGCACTGTCACTCCACCCTCCCAAGCATGACGTCCTTCTTCAGGGACTGATCCCTCTTTGCAACATGTCCAAATTATGTCAGACAAAGCTCCAGAATCCTTGCCTCCAAGGAGCAACCTGTTTTCTCCCTCTCTAGGGCGAGCCTGTTTTTTCTCCTGGCAGTCCATGGTATATTTCATCCTCTTCTCTAGCACCACAGCTCAAAGGCATATTTATTTACCTTAAATATTTATCTTCATTCCATAGTGTGCCTGTTCCTACTTCCAATAAAAATATTATATTCTTCATTTCTATTTTCTATTTCCTGAGGCAGGTCTAGTGGCCTGGTGGTAAGGAGCTGCATTGCTGTAACATGGGGTTCATGTCTATTAGCTGTTCTGCAGGAGAAAAATGGACAGTTTCCTCCCCTGTAATTTACTGCCTCTGAAAATATGTTGGAGGGCCAGCGATGACTCAGTAGCATATAACAACGTTCATTTCCTTAGTGTCTTATCAACAGGTGAACCTGAAAAGGGTCCTATGTGGAGATGGGTGTGGGAAAGAGTCACAAAGACCAGCTGTAGGTTCATCTGTTTATGTCAATCAAGTTCACTGACATGAACAGTTATGCCCAGGATACAGATTGTAGTCTGTGGATTCTGACGCTCTTGCATCCTGCTCTTGTGAACTTAAATATCTTCTCCACCAGCTCATCGTCTGCAAATTATGGTTGAAGCACTGATCTTTTGGTTAACAGCTGGATCCTTTGACCCACGGTGCAACCAGAACTCCTTTACAGCAATATGCATTCACTAAACACATCATTTTAACTTCACATATTTACATGTATGCATATTTGTTGCTTTTTTCATGAAAGCCAGGGTCTTTTTGAGATACAGATCGCTTAATTGCAATTTTATGTCTTCTTTGCTTGCATTTATCCACACTGGTATCATATTGGCTATGATTAATAGTTCCAATTTCTTTAAAATTGAGAAGCAAAGACATCTACAAAATAATCTGGACATAGAATTCTATAGCATTTATCTCAATAGTTAATCCATCCAATATATAATAATGTTCACGTTCTCAAGTATTTTCCAATGCCTTCTCTTTAAACCAGACACCAAGGAGTCAATTCAAAGTTCAGAAGTCACAGGTCTCCTGACTAAATCACATTTTTCTTCTTGTTGGAATGCTGTTGAGTCATTTCCAACTCAGAGACTCCATGTGGCAGTAGAACTGTCCCAATGGGGTTTCTTGGGTTTAATCTTTACAGAAGCCATTGGTTGGGTCAACCACACATTTCAGTTAGCCAATTGTTTAATCATTGCACCACCAATGTATTTTCACATTTTCTTAGCCAGAATTTTGCCTAAAACTACCTTTTATACATATTGTTGTATTAAAGCAATTGGTACATACACTTTTCTTAATCATTATATTGATGGAGGACAGAAAAGTAAATTAATTGCACAGCATACTATAAACTTGGGACCTCTTGTGTTCTAGTGGTTAAGGAATCGTGCTGACAATCCAAAGGAAGGCAGTTCAAATACTCAAGCTGCTCTACAGGAGAAATATGGGTAATCTAAAATATAGATTTCTTGCAATAGAAAGCCTCTGAAAATTTGCTGGAGAGTCAACTGTAGGTCGGTTCTGACTTGATGGCACATAATAGCAATAATTACAAACTTAGATTCCAGCCCAGTGACCCTGCCAGTTCCAAGAAAATATTAGGAGCTCAGTAGTTAAATGAATATTAGCCAAATTAGCTTTTGACTTCTTAATGAGATTTCTTTAAACATCACAACCAACTTAATCGTCTTCTGATAATTGCTCACAGTTTACTGATAAGAAAAACGTGTGTTGAAAATAACATGTGTCTTGCATATCTGCCTTTGATTATGCAACATTTTTATAAAAAAGACATTGCAATTTAATCAGAACATATCTGGCTAGTAAAATGTAGAGTTTTCCAACAACAAATTTTCTAAGCTGAAAGCAAAAGATCATTTTCCTAGACACAAAGAAGTATTTATTTAAATTTCCATTTGCTAACATTCTACCTCAAGATGACATATGATACTTTTTCTCTCCTAAGAGAAAAATCTACTTCTTTTCACTCATTTTGAATTCAGTAAAAAAGTATGCCCCCAAACTATCAGAAATCACTCAACAGCCTAATGATACTATCATGGTGGGGGTGGGGGTGGCGGCGGCCACCATGGTGGTGTGTCATCGAGTCAGAAACAACTCATCGCTGACCCTCGGGTGGATCTTCAAAGTCAGTCAATCACACGGGAGGAGACTGCCCATCTTTCTCCTGCAGAGCAGCTGGTGGATTAGAGCCATGTGCCTTCAAGATTTCAGCACACCTTCTTGCCACTAGACCACCAGTGCTCCCAGTGATACTACCACTGCTACTAATATCTCGTGATACGAATATAAATCTTTAGGCTTGTGGCTTTTTCTGTGTGTGGGATCTTTTCCTTCTGGCCATGATGGCCTGAGCTTTTTGGTGGGTTTGTTTTGTTGTGAGTTGGGTTGGTTTGTTTGGTTTGGTTCCCCCGCCCCACTCCCCACATTTCATCAGAGCTCAACTCTCACTAATTAGTTTCTTTCTGATTGAGAAAAGATTCTTCCGTATCTCTTTCCATCTAATAGCTGAATAAAAAGGAGCAGCATCAGCTGCATCCCTGCTAATTTACCCTGACATTTCCAAGCAGGACGTGATTTCACTATTTCATGCCTTCTTTTCCTGTTCTTTGTGGCTTTTGAACATACACAAAAAGCTCATCCAAAACAATTAAATAAATTACTTTGAACTCTTTCTCCAGAGTCAATTTCCTCTTTACTCTAATTCTGTATCCTGGAAAGAAGAGTTGGCGAGGATGTGCTTGTTTCTCCCCAAACCTACTTTTAGAAAAAACACTTTTCATATATCTATTGGGTTTATTCTGAAAGTACTGGTGCCTTAGAGATAGAGTTGTACTGCCAACCCAGAGGTTACTCAAAGGAGAAAGATGGGTACTCACCATCCTTGTGATTTACAGCCTCCAAAACCTGCTGGGAGGGTTGACTATGAGTCAAAGTACATAACCACACCAACAACGTGTTTTCTCTTATTAACGTGAAGATTACAAAGCAATGATAATGATAAAGGGTAGGTTGTGGAACCAGGTTGCCTGAGTTTGAAGTTTAGCTCTGCTTCTTGTTACATGATCTTTCATAAATTATCTTTCTATGCCATAGTTTTCCTAATTTGTAGAATGGGGATAATAATAGAGCCTTCATTATAGAATTGTTGCAAAGAGAATGCTAGAAGAACACCTATAGTTATGTATGTCTGGTATATGCTAATGAGCACTGATGAAGTCATGAGAAATGGATCGCACTGGTAGCCGAAAGAGTGGCAGTTCATAGCCATCAATGGTTCCAAAGGAGAAAGATGGGCAGTCTCCTCCTGCTAGGATTTACAGACTTGAAACCTGCTGGAGAGTATGAGTAAGAAGCAACTCGACAACAAGGAGTTTGATTTGTTCCGTTCATTGCAGCTGTGTGCATAATAGCAAAAGATGGCGTCAGCCAAAATGTGCATCGACAGATGGGTGGATGTTTTCCTTTCAATATGAAAAAATGCCTCAAGAGCCCCTTCCAGTCAGGCACAAAGTGTGCGGCGGATGGGGCAGCGCTCTGGGCCTCTGTGACATCTGTAACATCTGTGACGCTTGTCCCTTTGGTGTTTTCTAGGAGAGGCACGCCGCGGAGGTGCGCAGGAACAAGGAGCTGCAGGTTGAACTGTCTGGCTGAGGCGACGGCGGGTATGGCACGCCCCACCATTAGTAAATTCCCCCTGCCTATATTATAATGGATCATGCGATATCAGTATGGGAAATGTATGACATGGTTTAAAAAAAAAAAAAAGAACTCATTATAAAAAAAAAAACCACAGAATCAAAAATAAAAAAAATCAATGCGGTCTCTTTGCAGAATGTTTTGCTTGATGTTTAAAAAAAATACCTTGGATCTTATTTTGTAAATACTTTACATTTTTGTTAAAAAATACAAGTATTGCATTATGCAAGTTATTTCATAATCTTACATGTCCTGTAACAGGCTTTTGATGTTGTGTCTTTCCACTCAAATGAATTTGCTAGGTCTGTTATTTTCAGAGCTCCCCACGTCGAACTCCATCCCCTGCCCTTTTCATTCCAACTGAAAATGGAGGTCAGTAGACAGTCTTTGGTGCTAGAAACCCACCATTGCCTAATGACCGAGCCAGTTTTGTCATCTCTGAGCTTGATTACGACCATGCCTAGATCATAGACACGATATAACTCTACGAAACATCACATTTGTTTACCCATAATCTACTTACCACTTAGAACCTACACAGCCAGGTTAAGAACAACTACTAAACATGACATTGACTTCTGCTTCTTCTGGATTATGTGCAACAAATGTGCTTTGGCTTTAGAAAGGGATGGATGAGGGGACAGATCTCAATCTGGGTAGAAGCAAAAAAGCTGATCCTTTGAAAGCGCTGAACACAAACCCGACCCCAAATGGCTTAAGCAGCCACGAACGCGTTCTTCATGAAGTGGACTTAATTCTCTTGTTTAAGTTCTTTTGATGGAATGCATTAATGTGTCAGGTGGCTTATTTGTGGATGCCATGATTGATGATGTTCATGTTAAGCTCTTATCTGTAGTTCAAGTTGATGCTCCTGAGTATTTTTCCACTTGGAAACTGCGAGAAAACAAGATCAAAAGCACTGTGGACTTTGATTCAAGCTGGTCTTTCTTCCCCAGTGTGAGGCAATCCTGCCTGGATTTAAAATTTAAAAAAAAAAATACAAAACAACACACCACTTCCACCTGTGAGGGCTGACGCAGTTCAGGGGGCTAGGCAGGGCATTTGTGCCAATGAAGAGACTCACCAGATACCCACCATAAGTACCTAGTCGCAGTTTTGAAGTCGTTTCTCCCCCAACTCCTGAAGGTTGCTGCCTGCATATTTACTCCTCATTAGTGCTATTTTCCTGTATGTCATTGTGAGCAAGCTGTGATTAATAAAGAATTGGAGTTCTGTGAACTAATAAAGGTTCAGTCTGTTCTCTCGACCCTTCTTCTCTAACCCTGGAGTTTAGAGTTTAAATGGCCATTGGATTTAAGAGTTCACAATAAATTAGATCTGTGAGGGAAACCAAGGTCTTACTGATTCGCTTCCCTTCAAGAGCAACAGGAAATATTTCTTTCCCCTCTCTCTCTGTTGGTCTCACAGGAGGAAAGGGCGCTAGCCTGAAACATACTCAGGACTCAAGAGATCCCAAAGGTTCAGGCAGATAGATAGTCCTCAGGAAAAGAGCACCTTTTAAAGCACTTGAAAGGTTCCTGGAACCGTTTTTGCTTGCCTGACCTCACGTTCCCTCATGTGGCCCAAAGGACCCCCTTCTCTGGCCTAAGCAGTCGGCTTGTTGAAATGTGACTCCCCTGCCACACTACTGAGTTCTGCATTGCCAGTAAGCATACGGAACAGACAACACACACACACACACAGCAGGGTCCTGTCAGTGACCCAGATGGATCCTGCAAAACAAAAGGAACCACAACCAGCTTGAGCAGAAAGTCACAAATCATTGAAACCACACAGATTGATGAGTTAGGTAATTGGCTGCTGTCCACATAGGCACTAACAAGCCAAGCATAGGGTTGAGGCCACCTGGTCTCCTTCTTGAAGCCCTGTGTTTGTGGGGATGTAACACAGCAAACAGGAAACTCTGGTGGCCTAGTGGGGAAGGAAAAGCACTGCCAATCAAATGCAGGTAGTTAGAACCCACCAGCTGCTCTGAGGGAGAAGGATGGGCAGTCTCTTTCTGTGTGATTTACAGCCTCTGAAAACATGTTGGAGGGTCAGGCAGTTGGAGGGTCGCAACAGCAGTGAGTTGAGTTGAAAGTTAAAACAAAACAAAATATATTCCTGTTTAAAAACATCCATTTTGTTATCTTCCTTTGGGAACCATTAGAGCTTCTAGTTTGTGAGAAACATAATTTGCATAACTTTCATTGATAAGCATAATTTTATTATTTGCATAACTTTTATTGATAAGCCCTGAACACTTAAAGTGAGCGTCCAGAGGCTCCAGGCTACTAGCTAATTGTGGACCCAAATTAACAAAATAGTTTGATCAGTGTATGTATCATACTAAGAGAAAACATCTTATTTCTATTAATCCTTCTGAAATATCAAAATTCATTAACAGAAACATCTTGGGGGCCTATAAATTGAAACTGCTGACTAGTCTATCTGTCTAATTTCAAAGAAAAACTAAGGTACAAGGAATCTTGTTCTGAGTCACAATGCCTGCAATCTCGTGATTCCTTTCCTCATATGTAGCTCAGATCATCTCCAGATCTCACCACACCAGTAAAGATGGGTTCTGTCTAATAAGCTTCTTTGGCTTCATCAGCCAGCAGTCCTCAGATGTTAGTGTGCCTCAGATTATCTATTGTTAGAAACAGATTGCTGGTCCAGACCCCCGGGTTCTGATTCCTTACTTCAGTCCTAAAGCTCAAAGATCTACATTTCTAACAAGTTCCCCGGAGAGGCTAATGCTGCAGTCGGCACACCTTACTGGAGAAGCTCTGCTCTAAACAGTAAAATAAACCAAGGGTGGCTTCCCATTGCCCTCCTCACGGAAGGTGTCATTTGAACCAAACTATGTTTCATGGAATGGGGGGTGAACAGAAACTTACTCAATCTTATTCTAAAAGTAGGGGTGAGGTAAAAGGCATCTGCTGCTTGCTGTGTACTGTTGAGTCAGAACTGACCCATAGCTGACCCTCCAGCAGATTTTTGGAGGCAGTCAATCACATGAGAGCAGATTGCCCATCCTTCTCCTGTGGAGCAGCTGATGGCCTCGAACCATGTACCTTCAGGATCGCAGTACAGCTTCTTGTCACTAGGCCACTAATAACATGAGAGGATAGTCATTTACTCATTTGCTCATTGCTTTCGAGGCAGAATAGACCAACCCATAGCTGACCCTCTAGTGGGCTTTCAATCACATGTGAGGAGATTAGCCATCTTCCTCCTTTGGATCTGAACCACCTGCTTTTAGCTTGTTTAAAATGTGTTAAGTATATGGTTTTGAAAAATCTTGTGAAAGAAAATTCACAAAATTCCATTGATCTGATGACCCACCCTCCTATCTCTTCTGAAATCTGCATGGGACAACTAAATTTTGACAAAGCCTCTTCTGTGCTGAAATTTCTGCAATGATGTGGAGGCACCAGCCTTCGCAACGCACAAAAGGTAAAAATGCACTGACTTTCTCCATTCTCCACCCAATCCTCTACCTCCCCGCTGAGAGGGCGAATGAAAAGGCAAGAGATGGGACCCTCAGCTTCAGCAGCCACACACTCCATCACCGGATGTAAACCAATATAATCTTTTTTTTTTAAAGTAAAGGAAGTTAAGATCAGAAAGCTCCACCTCCAACTGATCACTGATTTGACCTCAGGTTGTCCCTCATTCCTTACATCTTTTCTACTTCTCCAATCACAGCCTTCTTATACCCTACAACAGCCCCCAGGGAGCACTAAGTAAAGAGTTATGCTGTCAACCCAGAGACAGGAGTTCAAATCCACCAGCCGCTCTGCGGGAGAAAGATGAGTAACCTCCCATGTGGTTCACAGCCTCAGAAAACCCACTGAAAGGTCAGCTGTGAGTCACTTCTAGCTCCATGGCCTGCCACAACAGCTCCCAACAAGTTTCCTTTTCTCCAGTCTACAGACTTCTCTACACCTAGATCAGGTCTCTCAAATCCCACCATTTATCAGCAGTTTAAGATCAGTATCCTTGATAAAGCACCATTTCTATATTGCCTCAAAAACACTATTACTCTTGAACGCGAATTTACTCAGTGCTAGTGACATCCAGTTAAATGAAATCCCAGAGCTCCATCATATATGTTTTGCCTAGAATTTCCTTCACTACAAATGCAGTCAAGAAAGACTAGATCTGACTTGTGATTAAAAACCCTAAGATTTCTAAATCAAGGTCATAGAAATATATTTCCTATTCCTGATACATCTCCAATGTAGGTTACTGTGTTTGTTCTGTGTTGTTCCTTATTTTGAAGACTGGTAGCATTGCTTCTTTCTAGAACATTGCTGGACGCTGACATAGGGCATGTGAAAGCAGGGTAAACCGTGCACTGATTCTTTTAAAACTTCTACCCAAAGTGATGCACATCATGTAACTTTGGCCCCAGCAAATGATAGGAGCACGCTTAATTGGAAGGAGCTCTGGTGGGTTAGTGGTTAGGAGTTGCTACTAATTCAAAGGCATGTGGTTAGATCCCATCAGATAGTCTGTGTGAGAAATATGGGCATTCCCCTTCCATGTGATTTACTATCTCTGAAAACTCATTGGAGGCTCAGCTAGGATTCCATTCCAACTCGACAATATACAACAACAGCAATTGGTGGCCTAGTGCATAAGGAGTTGTGCTGCCCACCTAAAGGCAGGCAGTTCCAATTTACCAGGAGTTCCACAGGATAAAGACAAGCGATCTCTGTCTGTGCAATTTAAAGCCTCTGAAAACTTGCTGGGGGATCTGCCATGTGTTGGTTCCAACTTAACAGCATATAACAACAAATTCTAAATGGGCAGGACAGAGTAATCCTACCAGGGGCCAAGGAGGGAAGCCAGAAGTATCTGGTGAATGGCATAAATAACTACCTGTCCTCACCTAACTCACTCTGCTACCTTCATGCAAGGTACACTCACATACCCCTGAGATGTGAGAAGGCTTGTACACAGTATTAGGGTGAAAGTAGCTGATTAATACCTGGAGAGAGTCCTGAAATGAAATGATGTAACATAAAATGTTTTATCTTGAATGTAACAAATATTCAGTAATTATTAATATGCATCTTTAGTATTTTTCTTCTGTATTATCATTTCTGTTTAGCTCTAAGGCAAGAGTCTGTATAATGTGTTACTGGATTCCTAATTCTTAGTAAGTATACAGCACACACACATACATACATATGCTAAGTAAGTGAATGTATGTGCAAAAACAAGTAATGAACTTAAGTGAGAAAACTAATAGGTATGATGTTTGGCATGTTTAAGCCCTTAAAAATACTCATTTCCTCTTCTTTCCTCTAGAATCTGATCAATAAGCATCTGCTTGGAGGGTTTTTTTACTATCATTATTATTAGAGCTTGAAATTGAGCTTTATCTCGTACAGAAAACTACATAATCATAA